ACAGGCGAACAAATTTAAGTACGATGTGCTTCTTCTTAATTTAACAGTGGATAATGCTGCATAGTCGTGTGCCATGGGATGTTAAAGGTAAACGGAAAATAATTGTCTTTAATTAATGGTGAACTCGTTTCTTCCAAGAAATGTTGTCCTTCCCCGGTGCAAAATGTGTATGATGCTACACTCAACCCTGTAAAAAGCATGTTTTTGCCTTCTTGTCTTTGTCTAGCTCACGTATTTCATAATATTGTCGTTTTAAACAACCATCCGATTTTCAGGGCAATCATCTCCCCTGACAAAGCTTCATAGGCAGAGAATTTGAGAAGAGAAAAGGGCAATCAAAGGCGGCATAAAGTTCCTCTAAATTCGTAGACCCTTTTCGCATTCTGTTTACTATTGTAACCGCTAAATTTCGTTACCATCTCATAAGCTGGTAACAAAGTATTGCACCGTGAAATATGCAATGCCAGAATTTTTCATAGCTGAATTGCTGAATAATTTAACTGCATTACCAACGTACCAAGAATCGCGGTGACAAGAACTAGTAAAATTTTTTGGTAAATAAAATTTTCCGGTTTCAAAATCTTCGGTAACGTGCAGAATAGATCTTTTAAAGAACTTTTCTATTTAAAGCAACAAAATAAAATCTTTATAGGAGCGGTTTGCTCATAGAGCGCTACTGCTCTGCATATAACAGAGAGCGACGTCGATAACGATATTTAACTGGAGGTTAAAGAGATGGCGAGAACAAACCCTAGGTCCGTTTTTTCAATGTCTTTTTAGCACTACCTCCCAGGTAAACGTCATTATCGACATTTTACCTGCGGTTTCTGTTAACCGGATATTGACCGGCCCTTAGTCAATTGTTGTCGTTTGACAGCGTGAAACCCAAAAATTTCTTAATCAAATAATTTTTTTGTTAAAGACATAAATCTGAAAAGTGCTCTAGCAATGTTACAAAAATCTTAATTTCCTGTGCATTTGTCTTAAGAGCGTACATATATACATATCAGGGTTGTTGCGAATATTCGCATTCGCATTTGCAACCGCCGAGCTTCCGCATTAATTTTAACATTCGCATTCGCTTTCGCATTCGCAATAATCAATGCGGATCTTTTGCGAATGCGAATATTGAAGGGACCGAAAATAACAGTTCTTTTCTTTACGAGTTAAACTTGGCCAAATATTTTTTATTCCCAACTAAAAGTCCTTTCCGGACAATAAACAAACCGCTTATCCAAATTAAAAAAGTTTGGTATCAAATGAAAGAGGACTTAAATAGCTTTAAAACTGAAATGTCTAAACGAGCAAAGTCTCCTATTGAAAAATCTTTCAATAAAAAATGTTAATTACCTTAGAACAAACCTTGGGTCAGGTATATGAATTTCTTTAGTATTAAGTTATACAAAAAAAATATAGAGGTGGTAACCTTCATTCGTTATTTCTGTTTAAAAGCTATTTCAGTCCTCTTACATATGACACAAAATTTGTTTAATTTTGATAAGGTGTTTGTTTATTATCCAGAAAAAACTTTCGGAATAAAAAATATTAGGCCAAGTTTAACTGGTAAAAAAATAACTGTTATTTTCGGTCTCTGGTGCAAGTGCAATGATAAAACGTATATCTGGCCAGTCACAGAAAAAAGGATCAAAAGTGAAAATCGAAGAAACTAATTCGAAAAACTAAAATCGAATAACGCTGTTGACGTTACTGGTTCTCCACATTCAGAAACAACCAAAAGAATGAGAATGAAGAGTTTCTTTGGAAAACAACGGTGTTAAAACATCTAGATTGTGAGGACGAAAGTCAGGAGGATACATCCGACATTTGCAGATCGATGCAATTCCAAAAATTAAATTTTTGCACCACAAAAAAAAAATATTACTGAAAGTCCTCTCGACTGGTGCAGCGTCAATCGAAAAGAATTTACAATTTTGTCAAATTTGAAGTTTTTCGCAGCGAGCGAGTAGTTATTTAGTGGTGCAGGTTTGATTTACGACCCTTTAATAACTTTTTATTGAATACAATGTTCCAATTTTTAAATTCAAGTACTAAAAAAGAAAAACACTATAAAAAATTACTAACCTTTCTATTGTTTGTTTAACTAAATCACCTAACTTACTCACCTAAATTAAAAACAAGTAAACAAGTCTAAGTTCGGGCGGAGCCGAACATTAAATACCCGGCGCAAGTATTCAATATAGTTTGTTCACCTTTCCAAAAGCTACCGCTACATGGTAAGCAGTGGTGATTTTACGTTTATTTCAACATCTTCGATAGAACATTCAGTTAGACATAATGAGATAAACTTATATAGATATATGTGGACGGCATCACGCCCATTTTCCAAAATTCCATAATAATGTTACTTCGTTTCAAGGGATTATTGTTAGTATCAATTTTGGGTAAAATCAGTGTTATATAAAAAGTGGTCGTAATTTTAGTCAGATTTCAATAACTTTCAACGTTTTTCCTTTACGGGGCAACCACAATAATCATACCGAGTTTGGTACACATTGATCGAACGGTTACCGAGATACACATATGTGGTCATAAGTGGGCGGGGTCACGCCCATTTTCCAACATTTTATTATAAGCGTACTTTTTGCTAAAGAGTTATTGTAAACATGAATTTTGAATAAATTAGCGTCAGTATTTACTGACTTATCGAAACTTTCGTATTTCTCTAAATTACCGTTACGTGGGATGTGGGCGTGGTTATTATCCGATTTTTTTTAATTTTCAGCCATTTGGTATGTTTTTTGAAGGCCAACAACTGTGCCAAGTTTTGGAGAAAGTGCTGGAGTGGTTCCCAAGATATACGAATGTAATCATACACGGTGGGCAGGAAGCAAAGATAGGTTGCATAAAAATGTCGACAAAAACTGAAAGCAGGGTTGTATTTGTTGATATTTTTAGGTTAAGAATCCCTTTGAATTGAAATCCTAGCTGCTCCTGTTTTAAAGATATCCACATTTTACATAGTTATGATAGGACCGACTTTTGCGAAAGAGAAAAACATCCTTGTGCATTAAATATTCAACAATGTATGTGTGAGTAAATGTGTGTATATATATTATGTGAAAATATAAGTTTATGTAAGTTTTTAGCCGGTTTCAATCGTTTCCAAGGCGCACCACGTAGAGGCAACTTACTTTGCACCTCTTTGTTCTTTTTTTGGTTTTATTTTTTTATATTTTTTTCTTGCTTTATTTTTTTATATTTGTTTTTTGTTTCCTTTTATTTTTTTTTGTTGGCTTACCATATAATATAGTCACACATTTTAGTATTTAAATATTTTATTATTTAGTTAAGTTTTTATAAATGCTGGAATGAAAATGTCATTACAGTTTTCTTCAGGCGACTCACAAAAGTTGGTTTATCAATCATATTTATTTTGAATCTATCCCAGAATTTAATGAATTCCCTATGAACTGACTTCCCGGCCTGCTCGGACCATAATCCTAAACCATCGTTATTCAAGAATGAAATAGATTGCTTTAAATGTTTAAGGATAAAATGGGTTTTGACAGTTTGAGAAATTCCAGTACTTTTCAAAGCTGTGCGGAGTTCGTTAAGATTTTTGTCAAAATTACTAAGATCCGCTTGTTATGCGGAAAACCATGTATTCACGATTTTGCTCATGTCTTTGAACGAGGCAATATATTTGGTATTGTTTTTACTGAGAGTTTCTTCCATACAAACTATGTTCGACATTTTTTTGTATGTGGAAGACACTGTCAGCAAAAAATAAATAATTGCAAAAAATCAGCGAAATTTTCTGGTAACTTCAGACTTGCACTTTACTAATTGGCTCAAAAGCTACATTTTAAACATTTTTCTAAAAGATCTGATTAGAAATTGTGATCAGATGAAAGTGTCTCCGAGCCAATAATTTTGTACGGCACGGTACTTATAAGTAATCTAGGTTTCACGAAAAAAAAATAAATAAATACAAGGTAACATTAAAATATCAGTCATTTGTTTCGTTGCTGTGAGCTTGTTTCAAGCCTTCTGGCTTTTGCTATAATTGTAAAACTCTGTGCATGTCATTTTAACGTATTTAGGTACATACTTATATTAATCATCAAATATTGCTTATGCAAAACGTGCTAGATTTAAAAAAAAAATCGCATATTTAAGTACACAAATTTTAGTATTTAGTATAGAAATATTCAATTGAAATACGCCAATATTAAAATGAAGCGCTTTGCACTTAACGGATGCTTTTTCATAATTAAGTTAAAAAAAAATTTATTTAAATTCCATGCTGTCTGTAATGGGATTTGAACCCTGACGCTCTGGAAATTAGCAAATTGTGGCAAGCATTTTCGTGCACTCAGCTACAGCCAGACATGTAAATGTGCATTCAAATGTTCAGTTTGATTCAACACCACGTGTGCGTGGTATGAAAATATTGTTTTTAAGTACGAACATTTCAAAACGATAATCAAATAAAACATATTCATGTTTACTATGCGTTATTTCCCCCAGTAAATTCATAAAATTTTTCTTAATATTACAACGCCTTTTTTCTCTCAGCGTAGTCATTTTTAAGCAAAATTTGTGCAATCAAATCGAAAACCGGGACACTTAAATGAAACCCGGGACATTTTAAGGTTGGATCGGAACACCGGGACAAATAGTCTAAAACCGGGACATGTCCGGGAAAACCGGGACGTCTGGCAGCCCTACACACAAAGCGCATACTTTCATGCGATTTTCTTTATGATCGCATTTGTGTTCTGGATGTACAATAGTCATTATTTCCTGACAGAAGAGTACATAAATACCAAAATAAATCTCATACAAGCTTTGAATTTATTTACTTATTATGCGGAGTACCGTTGGCCTAAGTTAGAGCATTTTTATTTCTTGCACAAGCGCAGTGCGACTTGCCTGCGCTACTTGCTCATAGCAACAAACCTTTAATAAAAAATTACTACCGTATTATATAGCATACAATATTGTATACATACATACATATATTGCGATATTGAAAGTGTTTGTAATGAGAAAGTTCACGCTACAGAAAAAGGTAATTGTGGTGTTTTATCTAAGTTGTATACCGGTAGCGCCCAATAAATCTCGATCAATTATTCTTTCGGTAGGAAAAAATTAAAATGTTTCACATTGATTTGATCCGTTTTAGTGAGTTAAAAAAGGGGAACAGATTTGTATGAGATTTCTTTTCGTATAAATATGCTCTAATTATCGAGAAGTACGCCTTCCTCTTTTGCAAATATATCCTATCAGAAGTATATAAAATGTGGATATCTTTAAAACAGGAGCAGCTAGGATTTCAATTTAAGCGGATTCTTAACCTTAAGATATCAACAAATACAACCCTGCTTTCAGATTTTGTCGACATTTTTATGCAACCTATCTTCGCTTCCTGCCCACCGTGCATAAGGGGGCGTGCCTTCGCCCATTTTCCAAGATATTATAATATTCTTATTTTTCGCCTAAAAATGATTGTGCATATCACTTTTGAGTGAATAAGCTTCAGTAGTTAGCGTTTAAACATCCGCATCCGCATTCGCATCCGCGGATGTCTAAAATTCCACATTCGCAACATCCCTGATACATATGTATGGATCACGGTTGCCGCTTCAAATTGTTTTTCCGGTCCAAAAGATGAACCAAATGGTAAAAAATTGACCAATTTTTATAACATCGGGGAATTGAGTGAAGTTTGTTGCTCTTTGTCTTTGTCTTTGTCCTCTTACATAATTCATGTATTTATTATGGGATATTTCTTGTTTTTGGTTAAAATACCGATACAGTTTTATTTTTTTGATTAATGTTCAGTATTACATGGAATAATAAGTGTTGAAGTGAAGAACCAAATAGTTTTTTTTCCTTAATATTGCCTCACTGGATTTTTTATGCGGTTTTTTAGAATTATTTACATGGAGTACCTGAATTTATGCGGATTTTGAAAATGCTGGAACGCATCCCCTGTTTTTGTATGAAAGTAAAGAACATTTTTATGCGGATTTTTTGTATGCGGCTTTCTGAGGAACGCAATTACCGCATAAAAAAAGACCTATGTAAGTGTATTAAATATTTTTCAAAGTAACATTTATAATATTTACCTATAAGGATGAATTGAATATACATACCATCGCCTGGGTAAAAGATTGTCGTATGTTAATTTCGGCAGGTTGTGGGACATCGTGATTGAAGTTTGGAATACAATTTCTCAAAAACGCAAGGATAGATTTTCTCCAAAGTCTCTGAGAATGTTACAAGTTCACAAAATTCTTAAATTATTTAATTGTTAATGTTTATTGTTAATTAGTTTTGAGTTTATGAAGGATTTTCTTTAGTAAAATTTTGTCGTAAGCGTCATTTGTCTACAATTTGGCAGTCACTTTTTATGAAATACGACAAAATGTGATCAAAATTTCTACCAAATTAACGACACTTTTTACTTAATATCTCGGAAACTAAAGGAGATATCCAAAAATGGAGAACGCCATTTTTAAGATATTGATTAGTTTAATATGGCTGCATCACTCACTGAATTTTTACTAAGTTATCGAAAAATTTGTAGTCAATATCTCGGAAATTTAAGGAGATATCTAAAAACTGATAACACCAATCGAAAGACCTTATTTCAAAATATATAACTGCATCTAGAACTAAAAACCTTCAAAATGGCGCTTACGACAATCTTTTACTTAGGCGACGATACACATTAATAAAGAAATAAAGAACACACTTTCAGGTACACACATGTACTTACAAGTTTTCAGAACTAATGCTGGATTTCCACTAGGGATTAAATGGCAAAAATGACAAATGACAAAGTCGGGCATTAACAAATAATCGTCTCATTACATTAAAAAAAAATTATCATTAAGTTCATTTCCTCATGGCATGTTTTCAAATGACATACATTTTTTGTTATTTCAATGCCTAGTAGAAATTTGGCACAAATACATGAATTCAAAGGAACATTTAAATTGATCATTAAATTAAAATTAGCAAGAGACCGCGGAATTTTTTGAAGCGTGCTTTACCAGATGATTAGCGATGCCTTATTTAAAGATCAGTGGCTTATTCAAACTTTTAGCAGGTGTTGCCAAAATTCATCAATTAAATAAAAAAAATTAAAAACTATTGCATGAAGTGAAAGGGTGATAATAACCTAACCAAACCATTGTGAAATAGACCATTGGAAAAAGCATTGGACCAATGGACCAAACGAATAAAATTGACCAAATTTGGACCATTTGGACCAAAACGGCAACCGTGGTATGGATATACATTCGTCGCTGGCTTTGCAAAACCGCCCATCGATCAATTGCAAAGCCGCCTATCTTACGACACTCAAATTTTTATAGGAGAGCGAAAAACGGGTTTTCTTTGAAGGCAATACTGGATATATATAAATATAACTTCGTTCGAAAGCAGGTATGCTTTTCCTATATAAGTGTGTATAAATTTCCAAATAATTTGCAACAATCTTCAGATACAGAACAAATACTTATCTTAGTTTTAAATTTTAACGTTTTCGTAGCTCCCTATGTTTTAGTCTGTTCCAATAGCAGTCCGGTTTACAGGATTTAGTCCGGAGTTTTTTTCCTGTAAGTTCATGAAAAGTGTCAAACGATCAGCTGATTTACATGTGCAAACAAAAACAGAAAGCGGTGAAAGCAAAGAACCTTATATTTGTTAAAAAATGGAAGTAAACAACGAAATATTGGAATATGTATAGATTTTAATAATTATTTAGTGATATTTCAGCCAAATCAGTGTAGTAGCAATGACATGTAAACAAACCGTCCGACGTTTTTAAAGGAAATAGTGCTTTTTGCGTTCCTATGCACTTCTGCATCTGTTCTCCTTTTACTCTCATTTGAGAGCGTAAAATTGTAGTTTGACAGTTCCACAGGTTTTAGTCCGAAGTTCAAAGGAACAGACTATTTATTTTCATCTAACAGCTCATTTACAGCGTATTCACTACTGTTAGTGATAGCAGAGCGTACTAAGTAGTATAGTTTCAAGCGCTGGTATGATAGATGCTATTGTGAACTCTTTTCTAAGATAAAATACCGGAAATTCAGAGAAGGTCCAAGAACGAATCAGCGTGGAAACTGTCAAATACCAACAAAACTGGCGAAGCGCATTTTAAGAGCGGCAAGCCAGAGAAAATCGAATTTTAACAGAGCCCAGCCAGAGGCAAAATAAATTTAACAGAAATTGTCTCATCAAAGCAAATGCATGTTTTTCTTGTTAGACAATGAAATGCTGATGGCTTTTTACGTTTTTACGCTTTTATTGTTCTTTAGATTGGTTAATTATTTAAAATAAATGCATGCATAGGTCGAAATATGTAATATGTACATATTGTGTACATGCATATGTATGCGAGATACAATTTTGTGAATCTGAAAAGTGAAAGTTATGCAAATATGTAGTATGCAATTGGCAAATTCGTGGGTGATTTGCCGTCGGCATTTGGGTTGAAAAATCGACTTTTACTTTTTTACCGATTCATATGGTAGATGCTACGCTATTTTCAATGCAACAAACCGCAGTTTTCTAGCTGCCTTAGTTTTTCCCCAAATTCACTTTAAAGATGGACACATTGACCAAAAAACGCAAATGCGCACTGTTTGGTGATTTGGTGTCGGCATTAAAAGCGAAGCAAATCGGTTTTTATATTTTTAATGGAACAAACTGCAGTTTTCTAGCTGCGTTAGTTTTCTCACAAATCCACTTCAAAGATGGATACATTGACAAAAAACGTAAAAATGCATTGATTGCGCTGCTTGTGTTAACTTAAAAGTTGCTTTTGTCGAAAAGTCATTTATATTGAGAAAATATGTTTTTCATAGTAAAAATAAAGTCGACACCATGGCACAATAAACCTTGGTCTTGGTCGACACTAAAGTTAGTTACAGGTTTTTCACATCACTTTCAGTGGATTAGGCATCTGTGAAAAAAAGATGCAACTAACGTTCTTCTTATTTGGGACTGAGAAACTTTAACTTAGAGTCGACTTTATTTGGTCTACGAATATGCCCCAATAGTTTTTGAGTCAAATGAAAATGCATTTCCCCCATGCATACGTATGTACATATGTACGTACTCCATTAAGTGATAACGTTTTTACATGCATACACATATATGTATGTATGTATGTGCATATTAATGCCAAAATACTACGCACATCCACACAAATGTACATATTTACAACTCACGGCAGCATACATACATATGCACATAATTACACGCATACTCAAATACAACAACTATTTCTTTCATAACCGCATGCGCGTATTTCTCAAGGCCAAGTAAATTCATTCATAAAAATAACCGCAGCAGATCTCCCCGCAAATTCATCACCCCCAAGCTCAAGAATCATTAACTAGTTTTTGAGATGTAATTTTAATAAACATTAAATAGAAGTGTACGTTTTCTGCAGGAAAATACATAAATTTTTTTAAATAAAATCAAAACTTCTAAAATCACAAAAATATGTGGTTTTTATCGGAAGTTCACAGATGTAACGTGGCAACTTAGCTCGTTTTCATATTTTTCGGTCCGAAATTGTAAAATTTTTGTCCATGACGCGCCACGATTTTTGTACAGGTGGGTCAATGTGCCTTGAACACAATTTTTATATATACAAAAATATTATTTTATTTATTTTTATACCCGAGCGCACTTGTGCACAAGGGTATTATAACTTTGTTCACATAACGGTTGTTTGTAACAGGCAAAACGAATCGAGATAGATATAGACAAATGTATACATAAATGATCAGGCCCAAAAGAAGTCACGTACCAAGTTTCGTTAAGATATCTCAATTTTTACTCGAGTTATCGTGTGCACAGACGGACGGACGGACAGACAGTCACCGCTTAATCGATTTCTCTTTTCATT